AAAAAAAAAAGAAAACAATGGCTGTGTTGTAATTCTTATCACATCATGTTCTGTGCACTGTGTCCAATTTTGGACATTCCTCAAGCTCACATGCAGCCAGTGAAGAGCCAACATGGAGGTAAGGATTTTGGGAATCAGGCTGCAAAAAAAAATTGGAGATATTTAATGTGAAAAAGAAGAAGAGAAGACTACAGGGAGATGGGGCACCTGTCTCCAAACATATTAAGGGCTGTCCTACAGAAGATGGAGCAATGATGCAGAGAAAAGATCAGTTGTTGAAAATTATAGAGAACAGAATTAGTTCTACAAAGCTAAATTGTCCTAATAATTAATGTATTCTACAATGAAAGAAAGGAACGAATTCAAGAGGGAAAAAGGAATGAATGTCTTTATCAGAGATGCTCTGGAAAAGACTCTCATTGCGAAGAAATTTGGATTAAATATCCGTTACAATCATTTCCAACTTGAATTTTCAATTAGAATCACCACAGAAATTACACAACCAGTCTTTCAACTGGTTAAATAATTCACAAGTTATACATGCACACATATGCACACTCACACACACATCATAAGCTCATTTGTGGATAAAATGATAGCTGATAATTTTGGAAAAATGAGTTTTGGAGACAAAACATATATTCATCTAAATGTGGACAAAAAGTCAAAATCATCATTTTGAGTGATTTAAAATTGTGGATAGTAACATTTTTGTCAACTAGACCTTCTTGAGAATAATCAATTCTAAGAGAATATTAAAAGATAGTGGTGTCCATTCAAAACATGAATCAGTTTCACAACCATTGTGAAAGGCCTCAAATATGACATTTGAGGTCTTGAAAATAAAAAAAATGGTGTTAACAGAGAGGCATTGGGTATAACAGTTAAGAAACCTACAGACAGAGTCAGAATCAGATAGGTCTGATGGGCATGTTTGGGGGCAAGTTGGGCAAATTGCTTAATCTATTGTTGTCGAGTTGGCTGGAATTGATGAAGGATATTCATACTACCTAATTTCATGGGCTATTGGGCGTAGTAAGAGAGAATACTTAGAACAGACGAATCGGTTTTCTGGATTAGGGCAGGTACTGGTTCATTCTCCAAAGAGATGTAAAGACAGAAGGAAAAAAAGAATGAAAGAGAAAAGCAAATCACCATTCTAATAATTAAGTCAGATTATTTTTTTTCCCCCACAGAAGCTTTGAAATAGAAGACAGACTCACTTCTGAGTGTTTCTGTCGTGGAGGTGTGGGGTCTCACGGAGGAGAGGGATAGTGGGAACCTGCTTAGCAGACAAATAACGCCTAGGGTAGGAAGGCCTTACACACTCACAAAGATATTTCACTGCAGCAAAAGAAGTCATAAAATATAAAAACAAGTGAAATTCTAGACCCTGTGTTCAAGAAAGAAGAAAATAAGGAATAAACAATTAAAAGAGGGTGGCGCCTGTCGCTCAAAGGAGTAGGGCACCGGCCCCATATGCTGGAGGTGGCAAGTTCAAACCCAGCCCCAGCCAAAAACTGCAAAAAAACTAAAAATAAAAATAAATAAAAGAAAATTTGTTACCTCCCAAAGTGAACTGATCATCTCCTTTAGCATTTACTCAGAAATCAGGATACTTTTCGAGAAATATTTGAGGACTTTATACATTTCTGTAGACTGTGGGACACTGCTTAATAAGGACGCCTTCTTTCTCAAGTAGCGACCTACCCGAAGAGATACAGCCGATTTCTTTAATCATAATGGCATTTTACTCAGGGGCTCTTTCAGACATTTCCTGCCCCAGGTTCGGATGGAATGGTCACTTTCTGACATCTGGAACTCATTCTCTTACATGTATGAAAAATATCATAAAACTGTGTTTTTTTAAAGACTAGGAGGTTGCTTATTGTAGCCAGTTTGTGCGGCTCAAAATTCCCTTCTCATCAGTGTAAAAGGGCCGTTCTGGTGCCTTGTCTCTGTCGCATTTAAGAGGGAATCAGCACCTCCCATGCAGTAAACCCACAAGGGATGCTTGAATGGATGAGTGAGGAAGCAGCTGAAGGAGAACATGGACCACAGTTATCAAGTCAAAGTCCAATCAAAGTAAACGTTGGCTGCTTATCTAACAAAGAGTTGAAAAGCTTTTTTTTCTTAATTCCTTGTATTTAGTAATCACAACTGACCGGCTACCTGAATAATAGATTTTTAGAGTTTCCATCCTGCTCTTGTTTAATAACTGAGTGTTTCAACTGGGACCGGTCGCATTCTTCAATACTTTAAATCTTAGTCGTTTAAGTAAGCTGGTAAAGTCAAGTCCTGGCAGCTCGCCAGGTGCAGAGGGGATTAAGCCTGGAATACGTAAGACAGGAAATAAATGTGACTTAGGCCTTAGAACACACCAACCAGAGGAAGTTAATTTACATGAAAAACTTTCCTAATTCGATTCTGAGTATTTCTGCCTTCTGATAGGTGAGAGCCCCATCTGAGACAGATTCTAGGCAGCCCCTTTCAAGCAGTCATCTGAAATTCTTTCCTAGAGAATTGTATGATTACCCTTGAAAACCATTTGTTTTGACCCTCTAAACTTCATGCTGACAACTGTCTTAATGAAAAACACCTATCTTCCAGAAGAAGGATCTGTGTCACCAGTGAAGATCATGCATGGGCTCAATGAAGAAATAAATGTTTGATTTCCTCTATAAATAATTACAGAATACAAAGTCGGGAAGATGGCGTTTTAAATTAGGCTTATAGACATGCGAGGGATAAAATAGTCTCACAACCTGGAGGTGGGAGGTAGTGTTTGTGTCATTCCCTAAATAGGCCGTTCTCCGTGGCCTAATTAGGGGCTGCGGACTGAGATCTGATGTCTCTCCAACTGCACCTGGGGTGAGTTTGGGGAGAAGCCTTTGAGGGGGCTGTACATTCTGTTCTGGACATCAGGAAGCACGAATGTCAATACACACGCATGAATCTAATTACAGACATGGAAGAGTTCAAGGGCACAAACAAAATTACTTACTTGTTAGGTTTTCTTTTTTGTAATCTGAGGGGGAAAGGATAAAAACGTGTTTAAAGTGAGCATTCAGATATCTTGTAGATTCTGTGAGAGAGCTAAGAAATGCAAGTTCTCTTTCAGCCTTTTAATATACAACTGGAAAACATTCTTTGCATTCGAATGTCAGAGAATTGGGGCTTTCAAATGAAACCAGCTGTTAGGGGTAAGGACACAGTTCCTTACAAACAAAGTTCATGAAAGCAACATGCAGCCATTCAGTTTTGTTTTGTGAGATCAGCGTTTTCAAACATGTGGCTTATATTGGCATGCTTAAAACTCTGCTTCATTAGCGAAGAAAGAGGACTTTATCCTTTTAATCCACTCTTCTGACAAAATATGAGGTGTTGCTTAGCTATTTTTTTGCACATTCCAGAAAATGTTGCAAGCTCTCAGGAGATGCCCTACAAACGAAAGTCAGATCTCAGGCAGCAGTTAATATTGCTCTTTCCTCTGTGATATTTTAGAACAAATGAAAGAAATCCTTCCACTAACCTGTGCAATTAGGAAAATAGCATTAGGATTCTGCTATTAGGTAGCTAAGGAAAGCAGAGCTAAAAAAAAAATTAGATATGCCTGGAAAATTAGGAAATTTAAGTTCACACCTTAGTTTCTTCAAAATAGCAAATTTCTCTTAATCCCCAAAGTCTTGGGAGAGTTCTTTGTTACCTAAATATGGCAGTCTGCTACAGGCCCGGGGGTCCCAGTGCATGCTGGGAAGCTTGCTGCATTCTGGCAGGGACAGGAGATGCATCCCAGGTCTGTAGAGTCCTCGATGGGTCTTTTCTTCCATAGCCCGCCATTCTTTTGCACAGAACAGCTCCTTTACTGCCAAGCAGTACTCTCTAGAATGTTGTATGGAGAACAAAACTTGATGAATTATGGCATGTTCAAGACACATTTGTGGAAAAATGTTAAGTCCTGTATTTTAAAAACATCATCGTAGCACATTGTCTATTCTTGCAAAAGCATTTTTGAAAGGACCGTTTTACTGCAAATGAAGTGAGACTGTATGACATATATTATCCTGTCATCTCGGTTTGCTTTTTAAACATAATTAATGCTGTTGGGGAAAGGAACTTTAAAATTTCAAAGGTATTAGATCAGGAATCCCTGATATGTCTTCTCTCAACTTCATTTTAAAATAACTACACAGGTATAGAAATAAAATACACAGAGGTTTAAAACACACACACATATTAGCAGTCAGTCATGGATCATTGTCGATCTGCTTCCAGCTTAGGGAATGTTTCTATAATCTTGAGGCTAAGGGACAGTGCTTGAGGAACACGGTCTGTCTGCATGCTCTGTCCTCTGAAACAGAGCAGAATCCCCTCCCGGCAGTTTATAGGAGAGCAGGTGGGTCCTTACCCAGCCCTTACTCTGGAAAAATACAAAAGTCTCGGCCCATTGCTGTGTGTGCTTCTGAGAAAGTCACTGTCCCGTCTGTATAAATAGGAAGCTCTGTGTCTCTCCATATGTTGTGTTAAGAGTAAGGAGGCTGAAGAAAGACTAGCTGGAATTTTATAGACTAATATTTATTTAAACCTGATAGAAAATAGGACAGATTGCATAGAAGATACTTGCTTACTTCCAAATTCAGGGATTAACAATGGGAGAAAATTAATGATAATTTAATTAAATCAAAAAGATAATTAAGTTGAAGATAATAGCAGGCGTCTTTCATTCAGTTATCTGAAGAATTCAGAGAGGAGGAAATTGTGTCTGTGCTTATGTCTGTGCAGGTATATGTACACACGGTATATGCCACGATGGTGTCTTTTAAAAATATTCATGCTTCCGTGCCTTCTTTCCCAACTTGCTCACACAGGCTAATTGGGCATGTGTAGAATGAAAAGTTGTGCTTGTGAATGTGACTGGATGCAATGGGGTCTGGAGGATAACAATGAGATTTCGAATTCTTGGTATGTTTGCAAGAGACGGGGGCATAGTGGGGTTTTTGAGCTTCCAAGAAGGCGGAGATCTTGAGTGTTTCTTGTCTTGGTCCTACCCTCACATTACACAAGCACAGGTTTTGGCATTCAGCTGAACTGGGCGAAAACCAATAAAGGACATACGAAAAAAAATCTGTCCTCCATATTATGTAGAAGCAAATACTCTGAAAAATCATTTTTAAATATAAATGGAAGATCACGTTAAAGAATGGTTTGAGGTTTGCTTAATTTCATTGTCATGCATTAAAGCATGCCCTCCATAGTAGAGTTTTTCGCAAGGAAAAAAAAATCAGGATGAAGTAAAAATATAGACTGAAAAGTAGGTTAATTTGAACATAGCAGTAACTAGAGATAGAAAACACATGGCAGTGAAGCCAACTCTAAAGGACTTAAAATTTTCATTGAAAATGAAAAAACGATAGACTATGAGAAATAGATGTTCAATTTGAACTCAATGTTCAACTAAATGCAGAAAGAAAGGACTTAACTGAATGCACTAAGAAAGGGAGGTGGAGCAGGGACCCCTCTTATGGGCCTGGTAGGCCCTCCAAGCATGGAAATAAAGGAAAATTTTGAGTCTCTTCAGGGCAAGATCTGGGTGCCCAGCTACTCTTGAAAAGTGAACAGAAATAACAACGGCACTCTAAGCAAGCCGGACTCACAAAGTGTTTCTGGTCTTTGTGGAAACTAAAACATGGCATCTTAACATATGTTCTTGAGTTGCTCTGCAGAAACTCCTACCAGAAGGAAAGTGCAAATAAGGGGGAACTAAGGAACTGAACACTGATACCATTATTTGTTCTAAGCTTCTCCCTGAGGGGCCTGGAGATAGTCACACTTATCTTAATATTCCTTTCCACTAATCCAAGAATTCCTAAATTCACCTATGATCCATTTCAGGATATCCTGCCTTTTGGGCCAGGCCAATGTATACCCTCCATGTATTGATTTACAATTTTACCTGTCTGAAATGTACTCCTGCATTTATTTATTTATTCATTTATGTATTTTTGAGACAGAGTCTCACTTTGTCACTCTAAGCAGAGTATAGTACTATGGAGTAATAGCTCACAGCAACCTCCAACTCCTGGGCTCAAGAGATCCTCTTGCCTCTGCCTCCCAAGTAGCTGGGACTACAGGTGCCCACCATAATGCCCTGCTCTTTTTAAAGATGGGGGTCTTGCTCTTGCTCAGGCTGGTCTCAAACTCCTGAGCTCAGGACATCTGACCACCTCATCCTCCCAGAGTGCTAGGATTACAGGTGTGAACCACTGCTCAGCTGTACCCCTGCTTTTAAAAACCTTGGCATGTTAAGTCATCAAGGGGTGTAAGTGTTAAGCGTTAGGAGCTTTTCTAATTTCTTCATTCTCCTTGCATGGCACCATACAATAAAATCCCTCTTTCTCCCACTGCAACTCTTAGTTTCAGTTTTGGGGTTTGCTGCAGCAGGTCAGCAGATCCTAATTTGATTCAGTAATAAAAGGGCCAACGGATGAAAATAATGTGATAGGCAGGAGCCAAGTAAGAAATCCAAAGCACAAATAATTCTGTTTCTCTAAAAAAATCCAGAACACATACAAAATAGAAAACAATCAAAGATATATTCTTTTTTTTTATTTCAACTTATTACTTTGAAGTTTTTGTTTTTAATTTTTTTTTCAAAGATATATTCTAAGAAAACAATCAAGGACATAACGTCTAAAGGACATAATGTTTAAATCATCTTATCTATTTTTTTTTTTTTATAAATCTATCCCCAAATAAGTTTTACAAATATTTTGAATCTAAAGGATTGAAGAAATAATCTTTCTACCATCTGGCAGACGGAAAATGGGTTCTGACAAAGGAACAAAAGTCGGGATTACTTTTCTGCCTCTTCTTCATTACAGACGGCCAAAAAATAATTGGTGAGAATGGACAGTATTTGAAAAAAACTGAAAGTAACACAAGACTTAAATACCAGTCAAAAACACACTTGTAAGATTACAGAAAAAAACAATTTGATATGTAATCTAAAAAATACCTACTCCAGCTGAATGGGAGATGAACAAATAAGAATGAAAAAGAGATGAATCAAAATTGAGAATTTAGGAAAAAGAAAGATTTTCTATGAAATGAATGAAAGTGAGCACCCAGGATGACTAAGTTTCTCCTCCTCCAAGTATCTGTTTATATATGATTACAGAATCAAATGTAAAAGCTAAAAATAATATTCCTGAAATTGAGTATATGAATATGCTCAATATAATTAATAATTATAATTATTTTAAGCATAAAATATAAGTGAATAGCACTACTCTGATTTATAATTCTATGTGAAGTTTCAAAGAACAAGGTCTAGGATTGTGCTACAATTATCTTAACTTAATTAGGCCTACCAGAACTCTCTGTTTCTAAAATTACAGCTTTCCTACTCGTGACATTCCTTTTCCTCCTAATCCTGGTACTCATTTCTTTCTTTGGGCATGACATGTAACACCTGGTAAGGTTATATACAAGTTATTTATTGATTACATTCATCATTGTATCCCAACTGCCTACTGTAGTGCTTAGAGCTCAGCGGGAGATCAGTAAATATTTGTTGAATAAATATCTCTTGTCATTCATGAAAAGAGGCACACATTATCAAATGACTGTAATTAGAAAAGCATAAACAATAGTATGCTTTTAAAAATCCAGAACTCATAACTGGAGGTAGAATGCAAAATGGTTGAAGGCTTCTGAACCATTCTGAAAAATAAAGTCAAACAAACTTATGAAAGATATAACAAAAACCTGAAGATCAAACTTTTCAAGTATTAATAATAAGTCCAATTTTAGTTCAATTTTTATTGATGCAAAAAGCAGAGGTTGTCAGAATTGCAAAGAAGGTTCTTTAGAAAAACGATTATTGTGAAAAGTTTTAATGCATCACTATTGAACTAAATAGATAAAACTCAAGAGCAGAAGGACTAGACATTTTAATTACTGGTGGTACTGATATTTATTTAATATATATGAATTTGTATCTTAATGGAAGAGACTAAGCCTTTTTTAATGTCTAAATTATTTTTGTGATTTATTAATTATATAGCAGAGAAAAGAAAACCTTCATAAAATGTAAAAATGAGAAAATATTAGATATTTTCTAATCTTAATGGAAATAAAGTATTTGACTATAGAGATTTCTTTATAAATATTTTAAAAAGAAATAATTTTCCAATGAAAATACTTAATAACAATTGAAATTAGGAAAAAATTTTGAAGTATACTACAAGTGACTTACAAATTTAGGAGATAATTAACTATGCTATTTTAATGCATTTGAAATCTCAATGAAAAGGAAATTCATTTGTTTTGTTTTGGTTTTTATTGAGACCGAGTCTCACCTGGATAGAGCGGTATGGCATTAGAGCTCACAGCAACCGCAAACTCTTGGGCTTGAGCATCCTCTTGCTTCAGCCTCTGAGTAGGGGGAACTACAGGCGTGTGAGACTATGCCTGGCTAGTTTTTCTAGTTTTAGTAGAGACGAGGTCTCACTCTTGCTCAGGCTGGTCTCGAACTCCTTAGCTCAAGCAATCCACCTGCCTCAGCCTCCCAGAGTGCTAGGATTATAGGCATGAGCCACAGGGCCTGGCCTATATGTTTAGTCTTAAAAGGAACATCTGTGACTCATGCATGCAAACTGATATGGAACATAAATGTTGGAAAGTTATTTAATAAATGTATTTTATGCTAGCATATAAAATTGAATTTTAACTGTGGCAAAAAGTTCCTGATTTTAATTAAGCAAAAGGAGATTCTGTAAGAAAGGGGTCCATCATTATTTATATAGACTGTATTATTTCTGGCAGAGGAACCACAAGATTATCAACCAAAAATCTAATAGAATTTTACGAAGTAGTTGATGCATATATATATATATATATGTGTGTGTGTGTGTGTCGGTGTTCATGTATGTGACATATAATAAAATACGATGGCTTTATTTTATACTAGTAATAACTTATTAACAAATAAAATGGAAAAATTATCCTACTTATCCATAAAGATTAATGAATTATAATATATGAGATTTGATTCCTCTCAGTAGGTAGGAGGTGTAATATAAAGCAAAATTAGAATAAACTAAGAATTACAGGAATATAGTCTTTGGGGCTTCCCTTGGCCTTAAAGCTGGCATCTGATTTTGTGGTGTTGTTAGTGAGTGAGAAATATTGTCTGACATTTCCACAATATATTCCTTTTGATACTACAGTTGTTCAAATGAATTGCATTAAAATTCACAGGCTGTGGCAGGAGGAGCTTGCCCCCTCCTGTTCCCTCACTGACCCTCCTTGGACTCCAACCATCCGAATAAGCAAAAGGAGCAATAAAGAAGGAAGGAACCACTTCCATGCAGCCACACGGACGACTACCAAAACATTATGTTGGACAAAAGATGGGACACGCAACAGTACATATTATGCAATTTGAGAATATGAGTTTAAGGAACAAGTGAAACTAATTTACAGTCAGAGATATCAGAACAGCAGATGATAATAGGGGATAATAGGGGATTGATTAGAAATGAACATAGGTTCTATATCTTGATTAGAGTAGTGTTTACGCAACTCCATGCCTTTGTCAAAACCCTGAACTATATGCTTAAAAGGGGGTGCAGTTTATTGTATATATATTATATGCCTATCAACTAAATACTGTAATTAAAAAATATGGCATTTTAAGAAATCTGATTAGGATAATCCAAAAAATTACTTAGCTCAAGTCTAAAATTTAAAAAACTCTAAGGTAATTAATAACAATGTTTATGAAAATAAGGAACAACGCAAGTGACTGAATTACTATGTCTTGTAGACATTCTGGCTTAGTGTGTGACACAGCCATCTTGTAATTTGCAGTGCTAGAACAATGACCCCAAAACACAGCTAGTAAAAAACTTAATGAAAAAAGAAACATTTATATGGAAGAAGTCTTACCAAACTTTATTAGCAGGCATTAAATAAGATGTGAATAAAAGAAATGACATACCATTCTCCCAAATGAGAAGATTCAATGATGTAAACATAGTAATTCTCCCTAAATTACTTCTGTACACTTAATATCATTCTAACTCAATTCCAAATGGAATTTATACATTGGCAAAAATCTTTCTATATTTCATATTTAAAAATAAATGGCTATTATTAACTAGTTTGATGTAAGCATTCCTAATTGTATATAAAATCAGCACATTGTACCCCATAAAGGCATCATTGCATACATGATCTATGTGTTTAGGACTTAATAAAAAAAACACATAAAAAGTAAGCAATTAAAAAAATAAAACCCATGAAATTTATAGTACAAAATTTTTAAATTAATTATAAAGACATGGTAATTAAATTCAAATGTTAGGACTGCAAAAATTGACATACTATTAATGAAATAGAACTTAAAGTACAGAAACACAGATCTAAAGAAATATAAGTAGGGCAGTGCTTATGGCTCAAAGGCTCATATGCCAGAGGTGGCAGGTTCAAACCCAGCCCTGGCTTAAAAAAAAAAAAAAACCCAAAAAAACCCTGCAGAACAAACAAACAAACAAAAAAAAAGAAATAAAAGTAAACACATCTCTCAGTAATAACCAACCATCCCAGTTTTAGCCTAATTCCTCTGTCCAGAGAAACTCCTCAATCTCAGACACATGAAGATGGTTGGTCACTTAACCTAAATTTTACTCATTAACAAAACTTTTTGGATGCATTAATTTAAATCAAAAGAGAAAAGATGAAAAATTTCATCTGACCGTGGAACAACTGGCTAACTCCATAGAAGAGTTAACTTTCCCCGAACAAATGATAAGAAAAACTTTGTAACAAGATTAGGGCCCACTTTTTAAATGATAAAGACAGAACCCAAAACAAAGAGACTGAGGGATTTGCTGACAAAAATTAAATTAAATGAACAAATCATACCTCAAAAATCAACCTAGAGTTCTTCCTCCTATAGAGACACGTACCAAAATGTTTGTAGATGAAATAATATGAAATATGTCATGATTTGCTCCAAAATATTCAATCTGGGGATGGCACTGGAGTGGGCTGGGTGAGTGGGGGTGAGATGAGATCGACCCTGAGTTGATAATTATTGACACTGGGTGATGAGCACATGGGCATTCATTGTACCATGATCTCTACTTTGTATACAGTTATGAAAATGTCCATAATTACAAAATAGAGACCAAAACAAAATCGAAGTTTCCTTTTGCATCAGGTGAAATGATTTACAAAGCTGAACAAATAATTCTGTGATTGCAGTCTTACAGCATCATTAGAAAAGAATGGAGCAAGCTAGTGGAAAAATTAGTACAGGCTGTAAGCAGAACATTCCAAAAAGACCCCCAATTCTTGTGCATGCTTAAGATTTTTATTTTACTCTTTATGATTTTCCTTTGTGTATTCCATTTTTTATACAATGGAGTTTTGTAGGTTTTATAATTAGGAAAACATAATGACTGTCACAAAAAAGGGAAACATTTCTAACCTAATTATTATGCCTCTCAAAACAACTGTCCATCATGTTGAGCTGATACTCCCGAGTGTCACTGTCTACGTTTGGTAACTCTTCAGTGGCCACCACAAATGATATGGGTCTTAGCAGTGCTAAGGGCAGGACCGATAGAATCTATTGTCACATTCTTTTCCTTTGCTGGTTGCCTTTTCTACTTATTATATTTGTGACACTTTCTAGTTAAAGGATTTTCATTGTTGAGCAATACCTCAAATAAACAATTTTGGAGACTCCTATAAAGAAGCTCAAGAAACTGAAATCCCACACTAAAGAAGCAACAATCAACAGAGCTCTAAATTTTGCAAGTGACTACAGGTGCAGTTCAAATACTGCTCAGTATTTCCTAACGCCTACGAAGACATTTACTTCCTCCCAGCCACTCTTCCCATTCTCTTTTTGGCAAGAGTTTTCGTTTTTCCCTCCTTGTCTTTTTCCTTCCTATTCCTTCAATGCTGAAGTCTCTAGAGACTTTTAGATATCTTGCCTGATCATAATATGATCTTCTTAGGTGGAGAAACAAATTATATTACCCTTACAGGGCCTCCAGACCCTCACACTTCCCAGGAAGTTGAGAAACAGAGCCCACTATTTTAATGACCTTGCTGGAGTCCTTTTGTGCTAAATAGAAAGTTCCCTAAAATCATTTAAAATACTTTCTGGTTTTATCAAAAGAGAAGTAGAAATGTGCTGCGTTGGTAGCTTTCAAATTTTCAGAAGAAAATTTAGGAAGAGTAACATCTATCCGGTTTTTAATATATTCCAGGGTACAATTTATCCTTTAATCCTCTCAACTTTCCTGTGAACTGAAGCCTAGCCAAGATCACATAAATCTAGAGAGCAGAGGTAACAGTCTTTGAGCTTTGTCCTACTTGGCTCCAGAGCCAGACTAATTTCCATCCTTTCTACAAAAGAAGTAAAGACAAAGCTAATTCTATGAACGTGCATTGATGAATTTCTTTTTCTTTGTTTCTCAACTAACTTTTACTTTTTTCCTGTTCTCATATTGTTTATGTTATATTTTTATTTCACATTAATATGAGGGCACACATTTTTAGGTTATATTGTTCTCACTTCCAAGGTAAAGTTGACGTTGTAGTTGAGCCCCTCACTCAGGGGGCGTGCTGACCACCCCCACATTCTGCACATTAGGTGAGATCCCACCACTGAGTGTTTAATGAGGAGGGGGTGGTTAAAGAAATATCTCTTTATAACCTACTCCTCCACCCACCCTGCAGAGGAACGGACACCATGCTTGCAAGGACAGTTACTGATTCTCATCACATTAAAAGGAAACACTGAGAACAGGACAGTCTCCTGGCAAGCCTAGAGATGTGTTGTGACTTAGGGGCAAGCCCCCAAGTAACTCAGGGCTCCGGAATGAGATAGGATTGGGCACTTGTTAGGAAGCAGGTGTTAAATATTGCTGCTTGGTGCTTCTTCACGTGGGGAAAAGCACGTGGTAATCCTTATGCAGCCAGCCCTCGTATAGCATGACTTTAACTCCCCACACCTGTCTATCACCTTAATAACTAGCCCTTGCAGCGGGTCTCGGGCTCTTCTGTACCTCTGCTTAGCCCACCTCTTGCAAGCTAGCACTTCCATCCGTGTCATGCCTGGTTCTTTCCTGCGGCACCGGGAGGCGACATACCCAAATAAGGTAAGAGTGTCGGAACTCAGAATATAAGATGCAGCGTACTGACTTTAAAATAATATCCTAAATCCTCACCGTGATCTCACTGATTGACAAATAATGCTGGAACATTTGAAGCGTAGTCTTTATTTTCTCTTCCCTGGCTTACCAATGAGATCTGTGTTCTTTGAGGACTTCTCTTTTCATGGGATAGAAAGTGGGGAGATTGGTGAATAAAACAATGTGAACAGTAACAAGAGTCATAGAGTATTAGACTGTGTATGACATTTTCTGGAAGGTCTGAGCTCTTGTAAGTTACCATTAGTGACGTACATGTAGAAATTGTGCCTGAGACCTCGTATTTGGATGAAAATCAGCTCTTTCCTTTACTACGGCACATGACAACTTCGTCTTTTGAAAGCTTTTCCTGTTGGCAGGCACAACAATGGAATTTTCCCATTTCCTTATTTTTGAAATTTTACCTGCACAGGGGGGTAGGGGTAGGTGCTGCCCCGGGGTTGCACTCCTGGAAGATGTGTCTGCACAGCAGAGCCTCAGCAGCCGGCCGGCAGAGCGGGCTCACCGCGCTCAGCTCATTCCAGGCAGTGTGCACCAGTAGCTCTTGGGCCTCCTCAGGGTCCACGTAGGAGGTGTTGAAAAAAACAAGAGCATCTCTGGCCAGGACTGCATGACACACCTCCCCTCTGTACTGGGCACAGTAGCCTTTGTTATCTTTCTGTGGTTTCCTGAAAGAAGCAACAAACAACGTCGCCCATCACATGCTATTTCTTGGCATTCATTCTGCATTTTAAAAAATTTCCACATCTGCATCACAGAACTAGGAGAAAATTATACTAGCAAATGCATTGAGATACTCTATGTGAATACCGTCTTCATTTCCAGCTGCAATTATATCACATCCAACTCCTTCAGAGGGTTACTATGAAGACCAAATGTGACCATGGAGGTGGAAAATTTGTGGGTTTTCCTTATTTACATTACAAATAGACCCTGACTACTCCTAATTAAGCCACTTGACCTGCTTCTTGCAAATGAGCTGATGCTTTTTTTTCAGAGATGCATCTGAAAGACCTATTCATCACGATGGTTAGCAAATAACGGAGCCTTTAATAATCACTGTGATCAGAAAAGCTTGCAGTTTTAGGGACACAGTTCGTTTATGTGTTATGATAGTTAGATACCTAGATTGTGTGGTGCACACACACATCTTTGCAATGCCTTCCATACTTAGAGTCTCTTAACTCCTACATCTTCTGAGAATTCCATTAAAGAAAAAGTCCCGTAGGGAGAAGAAGCGTGAGGGATGGCTTCTGGGGGCTACGTAGCATCTTCAGCTTTGCTATCTCCCCATGGTAGGTCTTGGGGAAAGTCAACTGGTCACTCTTTGCTCAATTACCCTCCTCTGTGAAGTGATATAAGTCATTATTCTGAATCCAGATTATTGTCTGTTAATGGGTAATATGTGTCAGGGAAGCCTGTAAATTCTATTATCCTAGCACAGAAATAAGATTAAAAGCTTATCTGCTATAACACCTGGAGACAATTAGAAGCATGGGAAATGCTACTAGTATTCTTTTATATATCCACTCGTCCCCTTGATGCAATGCTGGGAATTATAACAGCTCATGTACTCACCTGACAGCATTTATTGAGCACTTCTTATGTGTAGGCCCTGTGAGGGTCTCAACATATTCTGAGGTCTACCATCAGGCTTATTTTGTTACCAATGACAGAAAACTCTTAAGTTATGTTCCTTTTTCATATTTGCGCAGTGGTTGGAATTTAGCATTTCATTAATCTTTCTATAGAAAGGAAGGTATGCAAGGAAAACTGCAGTTTGTGGGAAATTTAGAGACCCCTTCTGAATCTTAAAAAATTGATACTTTAATTACAAATCACCATTGGCTGATCTTTAAAGCAAATCCATTAGAATGAGAGATAATATTTTAGGGAAAACCATGAACATTTAAAAAACATAGCTGTACTTCAAAATAGTGTTTTGTGACACGGAATCTTCCTTTGATTCATAGTCACTTTCAACTAACCACTGTGATCTTTACAGTGTCACTTTGTTCATTATGAATTTTTAAAATAATAAGAAAGCACAAAACTTGAGGAAAACTTGTGCGAACTGAAGGTGAGAAGACACCTCAGCCTTGTAGGGAACCCAACCTGTGGTGACGCTATAAAAGTTAGAAAGAAGGATGCTGTTTTTAGGGCTCAGAAAATGAAACCCCAAAGTGAAGACCTAAGATGCAGCTTCAGAAACAAAGGCTCCCTGACCCTCCCCTGCCCACAGATCTCAACCCCTCTTCTTCCCGGAGACTAGCCATAGAAACTGGAATCCCTTCCCCAAAACTGATCATAGAAACCAGAACTTCTTTTCCCTAAAGCCAGCCATAAAACCTAAAAATATGACTCTGACCCTGTTTCTGTGTAACAGCTGGCTATAAAGAACTTAAGAGCCTCATTCCAGAAGGGGCCTTCCATACTCTGGAGGAAGGAATGCTCCTCAGAGAGGCCAGGAAGAAGCTGGACAGGCCTTGCTGACTGTCCTTACTCTGTCTATTAGATCAGATCGCACCCATTTTTATCTAATCATATTTCTCCATACTTCACTGAATCTAAGCATAAATGTGTTCTCTCTGCATCTCTGAGTTTTCATTCTGAAGGCTCCTGGGTCATTTGAAGCTATTGATCAAATAGATTTCTTTGTGCTTTTCTCTTGTTAACCTGTCTTTGTTATATGGATGTGGGTTGTGACCCTTATGTTGGGGAGAAAAGGATCACTCCCTTCCCACTGTGCACTGTGCTTTAAGAAACTGAATAATAACGAAGTAACCCAAAATAGCTCAAACTGTTTTCGTCAACTGATCTCACATGTTGATATAATATCTCAGCATAAAGAGAGCTTGATAAGAACTTGTACACTTAGGAAAAACTGGATCGTGTAAAAGTTAAATATTTCCCCCCATGTCTCTGAACTGAAAATTATTTCTCCAGTTTCCACTGTCATGTATTAACTATTGAACGATGCCATTCTTCATTTTTTTCCATGAATATTATTTATGAAAACATATCATAATGTTTCCCTTAATAATATAAGCAAAACACGTTAAAAAAATTAGAAAGTAAAAGTATACAAGAGAAAAATCAATGAAAATAGCTTTAAAGGCTGGTCAAAGTGTTTCACTCTTATAATCCCAACACTTTGGAGGCTGAAGAGGGAGAATCGCTTGAGCCTAGGAGTTTGAGACCAACCTGGGTAACAATAGAGACACTGTCTCTAAAAAAACAAAAACAACACACACAAACACACACAGGAAAACATAGTCCTAGCTATTTGAGAGGTTGAAGCAGGAGCATCACTTGAGCCCAGGGGTTTGAGACTGGTGAGCTATGGTCATGTCTCTGCACTCCAGACTAGGTGACAGAGCCAGACCTTCACCTCCACCCTCCAAAAAAAAGGCTGGGGGTGGGGGTGGGGGAATAGTTTCAGACATAGGATTATTTACAATCCATTCTTCTGCCTGGATTTCTGACGCTTCTTTGAATAAAAGCCCTAAAAAATCTTTAGAACAACCTCAGTGTGGCTTAATAGTATTGACTTTGAGTCTCCTCATGAAATGATGGGGCTTGAGTTGATTCCACATCTTCGCAATTGTGAACTGTGCTGCAATAAACATTCGAGTGAAAGTGTCTTTTAGATAAAATGGCGTGTTTGCCCCTTAGAGTAGATACCCCATAGTGGGAATCTCTAGATCAAAGAGTAGGTGATACTTTCAGTTCTTTGAAGAATCTCCATACTATTTCCATAGAGGTTGTACCATCAACAGGGTTGAAGGTGGATGCCCAACCCATCGCCTGCAGGCCACATGCTGATTACCTGAGGACTGTTCCACTTATCTGTGCTGTGGGATTGTGAGAAGTAGGCATGACCTCTCCTTTTTGTGTGTGCTCATAGCTTTCATTAGCGCTTACATAAAAGAGTTGGCCCAAGGCAACTCTTATTCTTCCAATTTGTGGCAGAGAAGAGAAAAGGTTGGACATCCCTGTAAGTGTTCCTTTCTCTCTGTATCCATGCCAACATCTGTTGTTTTGGGACTTTTGACAAAAGCTATTCCCGCTGGAGTTAAGTGATTAGGTGATATCTCATTGTGGGTTTTGTTTTTGTTTTTTGGCCAGGCCAGCTTTGAACCCACCACCTCCAGTATATGGGGCCAGCACCCTATTCCTTGAGCCACAGGCACTTCCCCTCATTGTGGTTTTGATTTGCATTTCCCTGATGATTAGAGACTAGAGACGCTGAACATTTTTTCATATCTTTATTGGACATTAGTCTATCTTCTTTCGAAGAGCTTCTGTTCAGTCTTTTGTCCATTTTTTAATGGGTTGTTTGATTATTTTCCTTGCTAATTGAGTTCTTTATAGGTTCTGGTTATTAGCCCTTTATCAGAAGATAGCATGGGAATATTTTATCCCATTCTGTGGGTTCTCTATTACTTCTGGGCACACTTACAGCTCTGGCTCAAACTGTCCAAAACCAATTCATGTAGCCAAAATGTCTGTGCCCCTGTTATATTCTGAAATTTAACAAAAAACAGGGTTTTATTTGGCTGGGGTTGGGTTTGAACCCGCCACCTCTGGCACATGGGGCCGGTGCCCTACCCTTTTGAGCCACAGGCACCACCCCAAAATAGTATTTTTTTTTAACTTTTGAGTACTACCTATATAATGCAAAAGAAAAAAGAAAAGATAAAAGAATAGGTTTTTGAATAGAAATTGGAAGATCTTATTTTTCATTTTGGTTTTCCTTTCTAAGAGCTTGGCAACCACTGGCCTGTGAAAATCCTTTACATGCTGGGAAAGACCACACAAACGCAAAGTGCATGATTATTACGAATTTTCTACATCTCTGTCATGTTCTTGGGAACATTAATTACTTGGCTTTGGTAGCATACCTCTGCTTGAATTAGATCCACAAGGGATACATAGGGCCGTATGTCTGCATCTATCTATATACCATCTGTATCTGTTTCTCTGTGAACTTCCTAGTCACAGTTTCAGTGTTTCAGCCACTGCCTTTTCCTTTTACTCTCCTCATTGAGAGAAATTCATAATCTCAAATTGTACACAGCAATCAAATTTTAAATGCAAGACGTGGAGACAAATTGGGCCTTATTTTCCCTCATACCCCCAAACCTTTATCACTTACAAACTTTTGAAATAAGAGCTCATGGTGAGAACTGAGGAATGAGATGAATGCCAATTTCCATTGGTCCCTTCGGGGTTTTTTGCAAGTGTGAGACATCTCCATGTCCAGCCCAAGTTGTGTTTCTTTGTCTGCAGTTCTTGGGACTGTGGATTGGGCAACGCTGGAAGCAGCTGGTTCTGTCTGTTGCTCATTTCAACAGTGGGGCAGAGGTCACAGGGATCTGGTCACAGAATGCTGGTTGTTTTGGAACAAACTGTCAGACTATCTCCTAAAAATGCTAGTGTATATCACACGTGGAGCCAGTCCCTCTCCTGCCTCCTGACTATCTAAACCTCACTGACCTCCCTTTGTGTAAAGTTCCTTTATTTAGAGGCAACAACAGATATGTGATGCTAATGCCCCTCAACTTCTTTTATAATAGACAACTCGGTATGGTCAAATGGAATAATTAAAGGATTTTCACTCCACTTCTCTCTACGATTTCTCTCTACTTTAACATGTCTGAATCACATTCAGTAGAACATTTTAAAATGTTATCTCTCAGCTTCTATGGAGGAGACTAATTCCTCTGAACACATGATACTTTGTTCAAGGCACACCAGATGACCAGCCATGGAACGCTTGTGTTATGACAACCCCAGTACTCTAGTGGAAACTCCACACCTTATTTCCCTCCCTCCCTTCCTAGTAGGGGCACATTTGATAGCTGAACCCCTGGTATAGATTAATCTTCTCCCTTATATAGCAAAGTGCCTTCCTTCTCTACCCCCAAAATCTCCCACCAAAGGGGATGACTGAGGTGCTACCGCACTTTCAACTCCAAAGCAAACTGGGAATGTTTTTATCTTTCACAACTATGTCCTTGTGTATAATTCATTCTCCGTGGCAAGGGTCAGAAAATACATCCCACAAGATCAATTTGGCCTGCTGCTTGTTTTTTTGGTGGTGGGGGGTTAATTTTTTATTAAATGACATTTTTATTAATTTAGATTAACTTTACTTTCCTGAGCCATGAACTCCAAAAATTGTCAACAAGAATTCTTAAACCAGTATTTCTATACACAAATGAACTAAGGGGTTTTATACTATATCAAAACATCGGAACGTGGTTAATTATGCATTTACTTAAAAGTAGTTTAAATTTTCATACAATGTATATCATGATTTTCACTGTCTTTCAGAGCAACATACATATATCCATATGGTATTTCTTAAAAGTGCCTTTTTTAGTGACAAAGTGTATATGTTTTAGCAGGTAGGGGATGTTTTGAAATATGTGTATATTATGGAATGACTAAATTGACCTAATACACATATACATTATCTTACATATTTTTTTGTGGTGCAAACACTTTAAATCTACTCTCAGTCATTTTTGAGAATGTAATGCATCATTATGAGCTGTAGTCAACATGTTATACAATAGGCCTCTTGAACTTATTCCTGCTCATTGAAGTTTCGTATCCTTCTGTCTGTTTATATACACAGCCTGTGTGCTAAGAATGGTATCTACATTTTTCAATGTTAGAAAAAAAATCAAAAGAAGAATTAATGACAAGTGCAGATTATGTGGAGTTCACATTTCAATTCCATAAGTCAAGTTTTATTTAAAGAGCTTGATATTCACCTGTTTACACCTCATGTAGGGTTGCTTTGGCTCTAGAATGGCACTTGAGCCTTTGCGATAGGAACAATACGGCCCACAAGATAAATATATTTAATATCTGGCCCTAAACTGAAAAAAGTTGCCAGCCTCAGCTCTAAGATACAGATCAAGGGTCATTTTTAAAAAATGCTAAACCCAGTGTCTTCAACAAGAAAGACATGACCTTCCCTAAAAAACCTCTTGTGTTCCTTCTGGTTAAAATTACTACCTATGTAGTGTATAAAATAAAGAAAACTTTATTTTAAAGTTTTAATAAACAAGAAAACTTTAAACTCAAAATAATTTGAAAATTAGCCAAATACATAAAAATTTTATGTTTTATATACATCACTTATAATCAGTATACACATAAATGTATTCAGCATTATATGTATTTAAATTTCAAAACATTAAGAGGGTACAAATGTTTTTGATCCATGGCTTAAGTCGGTGCTATAAATGTATTTTTCTATCTTATATTTTTACCTAGCATGATATTATAAACATTTGTCTATGGCATTAATTATTTTTCAAAAACATGGCATTTAATCACATCAATTTCTCTTTTTGGTAGACTATTTACATTGCTCATATGAATTACTAACATCTATTACTAAGGCTGTTTTGTTTTGAATAATGTTGCTTATAACTCTGATCATTTCCTTAGGATAGATTACTAAAAATGGATTCATTCAGATGTATTAAATTATGACTTATTTAATTCAGTTATATTAAAATATAATCATTTACATAATTATTAGCATAATAAAAATTGCCAAATGCTCTATGGAATGGTTATGGCCATTTTCTTTCTACCAGTAGAGTGTGAGAGCACTTATTTATCATAAATGAAAAATAATATGGAATTGCTTTGTAATTAGAATGTATTTAACTACTTATGAGTTTAAACTTCTTTGAGTTTACTTGCTTGTGAGTGATCTCTGTCCTTTGCGTTCTTGGACTTTGCACAGACTTCCATTATTATGTTGTATTATAATTAATCTTTATGTGTGTGTATGTAGGTACCCTAATAATATGTAAATTCCTTGGGAGAAGGGAATATGTACAATTTTTGTTTCTCGACTTTCCAATATAGTGCCAGAGATAGAGTGGTTGATTTAAAAATGCATAGGGAGGGCAGGTGTACTGAGTGGGAATGAAAGATATCGGTCTTTGTTGATGACCTGTATTTTAATTTAATTGTTACCTCATCTACATTCCTCAGTAGATATCTGCCTTTGCTGAAGAATCCTTAAGAGTCCACGTTCTGTTAGCCACATAAATCAATAACAATCTTTCAAGTAACCTAATGTATCAAAGCTTGTATCAAGATTTTAAAAATCTTGTATCAAGATTCAGAGAAGAAAACAAATTTTGTTATGCAATGAATCATTTCATTCCCCAGAATTTAAATCAATGGTTGGGGTTTTAAGTCCTCCTCAGTTACCGGACTACCTGGGTCAGGTGGTTAGGGGCAGTTTAGGGGCAGTAGTTACAAACCTGAGTTCTTGAGTCTGTCTACAGGTGCTCAGATTGAAGCTTTACAGTTTGTTAGCTACGTAGTCTGGGCAACCCCTTGTATGTCAAATTTCTCATATTAAAAAAGTGGGATAATAACAGTTCTTGTCCCTTAAAGTCACTGGGATGTTAAAGTGAGAAAAGTGGGCCTCATGAATGAACCACAAAATGCAGCTGTGATTGTCATTGTTACAAATGTATTTTTGTATTACAAAGTCAACTTTATTGTACTATAAGTAATTAGTACTTTTATTAATCATTTTGAATCCCATTTTCATCATTTGCGAGATGAGATAGAAATAGTGATTACACCTCACAGAGTTTTCATGAAAGTCAATTTTAATAAATACCACAAATAAAACTCTGTGTATTGCAAAGTGTTATCCTGCAAGGTGACACTTGCTTATCTACAGGATAGAGCTATGAGGGAGAGCTTGGGAGTCAGTTCTAGGTTCCACTTCCAGCCCCATCATTCCCTAGCTATATGAGCCACTTGAACTCTCCAGTTCAAAGTAACTCTCTTAGTTTCTTTTCTATAAAATAGAGATAATAATGGTACCTATTTCACAGGGATGTCTTGAGGATAAATTTAATGCCTGTAAAGCTCCTGGCACAGTGCCCAAAACATAGTTAAGTATTCAGTAGCCGTTACCTGTCTTCATCTTTGTCCTCATCATTTTGTAAGAGTACTAAAAGGGTTAGAAATCAGAGACTTTCTAATTGGTTACAGTGCACAGTGCATAGTAGACACTCAATAAATGGCATGTCAAATTAAAAACACATAACAAAACATTGGTATAGTAACCGTTTCTTACCTCCATTCTTTAACAGGAAAGGAAGTTCCCACAGGAAAGCAAATTAAAGGGGAAAAGAAAAGAAAATTAGTATATTTTCATCTTATCATTTGGAAGAGATAGTTTTGATACCACTGAACTTAAAGTTTCTGAAAAGTTCTCTGCTTCAGCTAGGAGGCCAGATACTGAATTCACAGGCAGATTCAGAGATTAAGAGAATACTGACCTGAGTGTCTCCAGGGAGTGTGTTCTTTACAAACGGAGTTAACCACGGGGCCCATTGGCCAAGGCAGCCTCTCAGCTCAGAATTTCCTCCCATTAACCACCTAGGGACTTTTAACTAAAAAGGCAAGTTGGTGAGGCTAAAAGGGGGAGGAGTGGAGGGAAGAAGGCTTGGGAGAGGGTGGACAACTGTTATTCTCATAGGTCTCATATGCCCAGCTGGCTTTGTGGGTGTGTAACCTGTGTAGTAACATAAGGCCCTGCACTCAGAAGGGCCCCATGCTTAGTTTAATGCTCAGCTGTCTGTCTTAAAATCCTTAGTATTTTGAATAAAGGGTCCTGCATTTTCATTTTGTACAGAGCCTGCACATTAGATACAGAAAAATATGGTAGTTATCTTGATAAATAACCACCACGGAGTGGTGATCAGAAGAGGGATTCATTTTTCTCACTTTATCATAACTATTAAAATACTAATACCTTCCTAAACAGAAATGTGCTCAAAGTCGTACTAATTTGATTGATGCATACATGTGGACACACCTATATGCACATATGTGCATAGCTCACAGGCCCCTAGGGAAAAATGAAAGCAGCAGGAGGCAATAATAATCAAAAGATTGATTTGTAATGAAATATATGTCATTCTACAAAATATTTTTAACAGAAATACAAATATGTAAAGAGATAATTTATTGACAAATTGGCTACAGAGCCCTGCAAGTGATCAAAATTAAATAAAATAGAAAGACAGGTATCATGATACGTAGTAATCTCATCATTCACAATATGTGATAAGGTAAGCAATACAAAAATAAGTTCTTTTTTTTTTTTTTTTTTGAGACAGAGCCTCAAGTTGTCCCCCTGGGT